GAGAGAGAGAGAGAGAGACAGAGACAGAGAAAGTTAAACAGTTATTTCGTTTCAGAGTGCGCTATTCCGTACCGATATGAAGCTGGTCAATGAACCACTCATGTACCACGTCAACCTGATCACCACGGCCGAGCAGAAGAACTTTTTCGATTTATTGCACTTCTCGCCGCTTAAGGTTTGTGAATATAAATTGCAAATATTATTTACTTCGGCATCTCATACTCCTGATATCTCATCTCTTTTTTAATTCGCAGATACACATCAGTTTTTCGATGACTGGCAGTGGAGGTGGACCCTCTGCAATGCCACAAGTACTTAACGTGTTGTTGCAAGGAATCGGCGTGACACTGACGGATATTAACGACATCGTGTTCAAGTAAAGTCCTTTTATCGCGCTTATCAGAAGTAATCTTAGCGTAGTGAAGAACTTTTTCAAAACTTATTAAATTTTAAGAATTCAATTCTTAGAGCTTCGTAATTTTTTTATCTTCTGCAGATTTCGAGATTTTTAATTCTTCTATTAATTTGCAGATTGGCATATTTCGAGAGGAACTATGTGTTCATGACAAACAAGCAGCTCATCTCCGAGGCAACCACTCATTATGCAGGCCAAGCGATCAAGCAGGCCTATGTGCTCGTGCTAGGACTTGATGTTATCGGTAATCCATACGGGCTTGTGGTCGGGACTATGAAGGGCATCGAGGATTTGTTCTACGAACCCTTCCAAGGGGCCATACAGGGCCCGGGAGAGTTCGCGGAGGGCCTGTTTCTCGGGGTGCGCAGCATGTTGGGCCACACCGTCGGCGGAATGGCGGGCGCCGTATCGAAAATCACGGGAGCGATGGGTATGTTTCAGTATCATTCAAACAAATTTATTATATTTAACTGTGAAATTGCATGCATTATCAGTACTTCTATTTTTACACGTATTGGAATTTTGTACTACAAGAAGATATTAAATTGTATTTAATTCTTGTAACATTCGACATTTTCTGTGATATATATTTTTTTTCTTTTGCAGGCAAAGGTATAGCTGCTCTGACTTTCGATAAGGATTACCAACGAAAGAGACAAGAACAGCTCAACAAGCAACCCGCCAACTTACAAGAAGGTCTTGCTCGAAGCGGAAAGGGCTTAGTAATGGTAAAATCGTAGATTAATTAATGTATAGATTAATTTTAATTTACTTGGTATAAATTATGTATTAATTTCGTTCGATAGGGCGTGGTTGACGGTGTAACGGGTGTGGTAATGAAGCCTATATCAGGAGCGAAGGAGGAAGGAGTAGAAGGGTTCTTTAAAGGATTCGGAAAGGGTGTCGTTGGACTCGTCACCAGGCCTACTGCCGGTGTTATTGACTTTGCGAGTGGTTCTTTTGGAGCTGTCAGACGGTACGATCTGTTAATCATCAGCAAAAAGAATCTTAATAATTTTATCGACGAATAGCAAGATATTAACTGAAAATTGGAATTGTATAAATTGTACAATTAATCTTAAAAATACAATTAATATTGGAAACTACATTTTAAAATCCGTTTTAGAGCTACGGAACTGAATGAGGAGGCAAGGAGAGTACGATCGCCTAGATTTCTGCAACCAGACAGTCTTGTTAGACCTTACATAAAGGATGAAGCCGAAGGCAACAAGATATTGATGGTAAGAGTTTTATTCCTTTGAGAGTTCTCGATCATCAAACTTAAGGTAGATGTATTTGCATGTTCTGTTTTTAATAAACTATTTATTGTAGTGGGATATTTCTGTAATGGACATTTCGTTAATTTATATTTAGCATTTATGTAAATATTTTATACATCATAAATTAAAAACATGTTTTATGCTATTAATATAAAAAAAAATCAAGATGCTGTATAAAAATAATATTTTTTTGTGCAAATATAATTGTTTTATAAAAAATAATATTTCTCTAAAAATTTTTTGTTTTATAAACTTAAATTTTGGCACGAAAAATTTTTTTTATATTAATTTATATAAATACCAAATATATATAAATAACAAATATATAATATACATATCTTTATAAAAAATTTTTTTTATAGGAACTGGAGAAAGGAAAGTACGCACATACGGACGTTTACGTTTATCACATATTTATTAACAAAGACGTGCTGTTGCTCACCGACAAAAGATTATCATACCTCGAACATAGTGATCTGTTTGGTGGTTGGCGGGTTGGTATCGATTAATTATCATATCTCAAACAAAAATTGCGATATACATATGTTCTATTGTAATAGGTTGACTGGACTCATACTTGGAACGAGTTTGGCGAATCGCCAAAGATCGTAGAAAGAGGTGTGCAGATCTTTCTTAAAGACGCCAGCAAGAAGAAGAAACTTGGTGGTTTTTTCGGCAGTGCGGATCAGTCAAAGATACTTTTAATAACGGATCATAATATTAAACAGGTATGCGCGCATGTGTTGCATGCTAAAATATTCTTCTATCAGTTATCAAGTCATATTTTATTGTTGTCTTCTTTGTCTGATATTTTATCACTTTGTAACTTTATCTTTTCCGCAGTTATTGTGCAGTAAAATACAGGAGCAGATCAACCAATAAGGAGTATAACGGCGGATGTTTGAACATTTTCGAATTATAAAAGAAGAGAAAGAAGCCTTCTTACTTCTGGAACGCTTTGCGAGCGAGTTTGCACAATTCTTATGCACATTTTCTATTATTTATAAGACTAATATTGCGTGCGCGCGATAATCGTAACAGTCTAAAGAGAAACGACATTAGTAAGCGTATCGAGAAACCAATCATGAAAGAACTTAGTAACCTTTTCACTTTTTATCACGCAGTTCAGAATTTTTTTGTTGTCGGTATCATAATACCGAAAAAAAATGTTAGATTGTTGCAAAAGATTCGTCGAATAAGATTGAAAAAAGGGATGTATATATATATCGTTTTGAAGTAATTTTTATTTTAATCTAGATACATTTTTTTCGGAAAGAAATTTTTTTTAAGAGAGAGTTAAATCGATAAAATTTTATTTACATAAAACAACACTTTATACAGAAAAAGAATCTTGCATCAAGCTATGTAGACATTTTGTAAAGGAGAGATTAATCTTTTTTAAATTTATATTTATAAGCTTCTCTCCATGCACAAGCTCTGTTTGATCGAGTCAATTGTTTAGACGCAAGAAAGTTACCATTTTATTGTTAGGAGCTAGATTTACAACGTGAAGTTATAAAGTAGGATTGATTGTTTGAACGGCAGTTCTAGACAACTTAAACCAGAACGGTTAAACTGTTAAACTAAGTGGAAGTGAAAGTAAACAAATATCAAAGTAGATATTTTGATATTTTTTTACACAAGTTTAATTAAAAAGTATACAAGAGATTATTCGTATATTTGTTAAAGTATCAGGCAGATTTTTTATTGAAAAACTTTGGTATTATATTTTATATTTACAGAGGAAATATGAGCATTATATATCGCTAATTGCATTGTTAATCATATATCATAATGCAATAGGTTTAAATCATCACTCGAATGATATTCTAACTTATTAATAATCAAAAGTAATTGTATGCTTAATTATCTTCCTCTTGACATTTAACATTGTTAAAGAATTTATTACAAATGCTACTAGCACATCGAGTAGATGCATTGTTAAGACGTAATAAATTTCATCATCTAGCTTTAACGCCTAATCAGTATGCACTGGCATGATACTTCTACCTCGTTTTTATTAATGCTACTTAGTATAATAAATTAATCAATAAAAATATACACATATATCAAGTGGAATTACTTATACTGTATATAATAATTGACTTGATTAATATTATCAGAACTAATTTTTTTTCTATCCAGCTGCTATCTTTCATGAAAAGTTTTAATTAAAGCGACAATAAAGGCACTTCAGAATTAATTTCAGACATATGACATAATATTTATTAATTATATAGTATATATTGCGTTTATTATATATTTAATTAATTTCGCTTCGTTATTCTCTGTTGCAGCATATAATAAAATTATAAAATTAACATTTTCTGTACACTGTTTCTTTCGAATTGCGACATCTTTCTATCATTTGATCATTTATCTAAATCTATTTTTTCAATGTATTTTTATTATCAGATTTCAGTATCTTAAAAGATTTTTCTTTTTTTTAAATATTTGTAAAAGAGAAAAAGCGAGATGAATAATAAAATATAATATTTTGAATTTAAGTAAATACTCGATTAAATAAAAATTATTACAAAAATGGAATATATATTGTATATTATATATCTCACATTTATATATTTATTATATAATAATTTTGCTTGTGTCTATTTCGTAAATTACTCATAAATCAGTGTACTGATTCCATAAATATCGTTTAACATTTTTATTACAATAATATTGTATCTGTTAACATTAATAGGACCATGAATACGTGATTTACGACATTATTTATTCATTTGTTAATCGTGGCTGCGTTGACGATAGATTCGGCGAACATTTGGATACATTTATATACGTACTATCATCGGTCCAAAAATCAGGGAAGCGGAAGATTTGATATATGCTGACTAGTAGTTATTCACGGCCTATTCAATGCGGTCCGACGACGCCGATATCGAGGAACTACAGCGGATACCGCAGCATATCCAAGGTCCTCCACAATTACCGCCGTTAATTAAAGGACAGAAACTGCAGAGTGTGAGTGACGTTTCAATTACATAATCGGCAGATCTTAACAAACTCCCGGATAAATTTTCTCTTAATTAATTATATTCAATGTTATTCGTTTAATGATACACAATTAAGCTATCACTAGTTAGCTTTAAGCAAAATTTATTTTTAAAATTTTCTTTAACTTGCTTTATCCATTTTTTAAATCTTCCTATTGTTTCTATTAAATAATTATAATTGTGTAAAATTTGTATGTTAGTAATTTAATTAAAGATTTAAATAATTTCTCTTGGCTTAACAGATTAATTTCAATTCTAGGGACCGTATACCATTACGGTGACTGATGAAATGGTTGCTCAGAGGGAAAG